CAAGCTACTTTGAATTACCACTGAATGTTTACAATAATTTCAAAACATAGTCTGACCTAGTACAATGTAAAGAAATTAAAGCTAATCACAGTATAATGTTAAATGCTAATAAAAAATTCCAACAACTATAATCAATCTCAATACAAATATAAACCATTACAGTCCATTCAAACATTATAAAATTCATTCTAAGACCTAAAAATCACAATTATAATGAAAGAAGCAAAGATTAGAAGAGCTGAAACTCCCCTCTAAATTGAAGCCATAACCATTGCTATAGAGAATTGGAAGGATTTAGCTGCTCCTAACCATCATGTTTTCTGGTCTCTGGTGCTGTTACGCCGTCGCTGATCTGTCTCTGTTGGCCGCCACTCCTCTGGTTCTGTTGCGCAACGCAGAGAGGAAGAAGATGATGAATAGTGCCGCACACGTAGCCCCCAAGCGCCCCTCGCGTCCTGGTTGTTTGTTCTTCCTCTTTTCTTTTTCTTCCCGCCAGCTCTCCTTCTTTTCTCCAGCTCGTGTGTGCGCCTCTGTTCTGCCACCAGGAAGAATTCGTGGAGAAGAAAGAAGAGATGCTGTCGATGGAAGATGAAGACTCAGAGGAGAGGAAGTGTGATTTCCGTGAAGCTCTGGTCCATCGTTCTCTCTTCCTCGCCGCTGGTCCTCTCTCGCCGTCAGCTCGCTGGTTGGTGTCTCCGTCCCCAAATGATGATCATCTCAATAATAGGTTATTAGGGGGGTGCGTTTTGCCCCCTTCTTTTTAATTATCTTTTATTATATTTTTTTTCTTTTCTTTTCTTTTCTTTCTTTCTTTTATTTATTTATTTTTAAATCTTTCAAAAACCTGCAAACAAAATTCAAGAATAAGGTAGCATTATATGTCCTCAAAAATCAATTACTCACACTTAAATCAAAATATGACAATTTTACCCCTATAAAATAATAATTCAAAATAAAATATATTAAATCAATTAACAATCAATTAAGGCAAAAATGACTAATTAAGTTGACAAAACCCATATAAAAGATATCAAAATATATAAAAATAATTGAGTTTGTCACCGAACTCGTTTGACTTAAAAGCCAAAAACGCAAAAAGACTTAGAATTTAAGAAAATGATACTAAATCCTTAATATAAAATCTAATTGACTAATTTTGAGAGATTAAAAAAGTTGAATAAGTTACTTTGAAGTATTTATATTTATTTTTTTAAAACTAATGTCTGACTTATAGACTAATATTTAATCTAATAATACACATAAATATTTCAGCAAATTTATATAGTTGATAAACTCAATTATTTTTATATATTTTGGTATCTTTTATATGAGTTTTGTCCGTTTAATTGGTCCCTTTTTGTCTTAATTGATTTAATTTATTTTATTTTGAATTATTATTTTATAGGGGCAAAATTGTCATATTTTGATTTAATTGTGACTAATTGATTTTTTAGGACAATTAATGCTACCTTATCCTTGAATTTTACTTGCAGGTTTTTGGAAGAAATAAAAATAAAAATTAAAAAAAAATAAATAAAAAGAAGAAAAAACAAAAAGAGAGCAAAACGGTGCGCACCACCCCCAACCTAATATACTATAATTCATCTTCTTCACACGAAGCTGAACGCGCACGGACGGCGGCTGAGAGAAGGGGAAAAAACAGAGAGAACGCTGGAGCTGAGTGAGGTCCAGAGAGTCGATGGCGCAGGACGAAGGACCATTCATCATCTTCTCCGTTGAACCTTCCTGGTGGCAGGGGGCGAGCTGGAACACGAAAACACACACACACGCTAGTTGGGGGCGGCGCTGAGATACACGAGTGGGAGGCGACACACACCAGCAGAAACAGCGAACCAGAACATCAGCGAGCACGAGTAGACGGCGCCTTCACCTTCTTCTTCTCCTTCTTGACGCGAACAGAGTACCAGCAGCGTGAAGGATTAAGCGTGAACAGTATCCTCCATGGAACCTTGTAACAGAGCATTGATTGTGGCATTTTTCATGGCTATGCGTGGCTAGAGCTCTGAAATCCTCTAATTCAACAACAATGGCAGGAGCTTGGATCATTAAAGGGGAGTTTAGTTACTTTAATTTCCTATCTAATAATTGTTTAATAATTCCTAGGTCTTAAGATAGTTATTCTGATTATTAGAAAATTTTATATTGTTAAATTGATTATCTGTGGAGATTATTGTGGTTGGATTATTGTTTAGCATTTGACATTGGGTTGTTTATAGCTTTGATTTCAATTATGATGTTGTGGTTATGACATTTGTATTGATTTTGGAGTTAATATATTGTGATTTTCTGAGGTGGCTTGGAATCTTGGATCATATTGTCTCTTGCTAGCTTTAATTCTATTATTTTGGATTTAAGAATTTTAATTAAGCATTAGTTTTTAGTATCCTTAATTTTATTTTATTATTCTGGTTGCAGTTAATAAATTAGGATTTTGAAAAAATATTTTGTAGCAATTCGAGGTGGCTCGATTGTTAGATTAAAAGCTTGATTATAATTCTTAATTCATTGTTTTAACTCCCGTATCTTTTAGAGTGAGGATTGCCTGCGTTGTTGAATTGGAGGATTGATTATTATCATTGTTATTTGTGTGTTTCATTTTCATTTCTTTAATCTTCATTCATTTTAATCATTTTTATATAAAAACAAAAAAAAAGTATTTTAACTTCAATTTAATTCAAGGCATTTAGTTAGCAATTCCTCAAAATCAAAAATCCTTTTTTATAGTTTAAGCTAATTGCATTTATTTACTAGGATTCAATTTCATTTTCGGCTCCTCAAAGTGAATACGATCCGGATTGTGCACTATATTGCATTAATTTGGTTAATTTTTAGAGTAACCCCAATTAAGGGAAGTTATCTTCAGTAGTATATGTTATAATTAAGTATTTAATTAATTGTGTTTTATATTAAGTCGTGGATGTAATATAAAAATTCATGTGATACATTGCATTAGATTCCATCAATAATTTTGCAACGTTTCAAACTTCCTGAACACGGCTTTGACTAATCTGCAGGATTAGGATAACATGAGTTGGAAAAACTTTCCATGACTTTGCAGATTTCTAACACTGGAAATGGCAATCAACTGTTTTTCTTCTTCTTTTAATTTTTATCTTTCGAAAAATTATGAGTTTGGATTTTGTCTACGCCGCATGAGACGAGGAACGTCCCTTGTCGTCGTCAGTCTATGTACCATGTGAGAAGGTTCTTCTTTTATTCCCTGAATTAATAGTGTTCAATTTGTGGATGACCCCTTCAATTCTTGTTTCTCAATCTTGTTTCATCGTCAATATTATATTTACATGCGAAGTTGAAAGTTGTAATGCGCGCGCGCGCTAGTTTACATGTACATTACGGTAATGATTCTCTAACTCCTCACATAAAATTAATCAACTTCTAGCATCAATCACTTTGATTTCATTTGAAACATTCTAATCATAAAAAGTGTCTGGAAAAGTATAAATACGAGGCTGTGCGTGTTGTGGTCTATTTGTGTCATTAATTTCTATCAATACAACTGAGACTCCTTTTGGGTTTGATTTCTAAAGATTTTATCTTGTCTTTTTAATTCAGAAAAAAAGATAATTTTGGTGCACGGAGAAGGGAGATTCATATAATTCATCTTGAGGAGCAGAAGAAGAAGCTGCGTGTGTTGTACAATTTATCATTTTTGGAGTTTGAAAAATGAAGGTCTCTTATGATTTCATATTAACTTCTACTAAGAAACATGTACTTATCGTTCCTCTCATTTCAAGACTTTCCGTAACCCCGCTGTTCCTTACCAAACATTGGTCTAACTAGAAGTAAAATAAAACAAGTTGAAATCATTAATAAGTAAACAAATATAATTCTGAATGTATTCTGGATTAGGGAACTTACAACAGCTGGGTGGCGACCTAGCTTTCACGTACGGAAACATAAAGACAGAGAAATCTAAACAAACAAGAAAGTAACAAATATAGAAGAGCAGATCCAGTCTTGTAATTCACCATCTCCGTAGTCGAAACCTCGCCAACAATATGAGAATTTCTGCAACTAGCTTGGAGGGTTGCATTATATTAGTTGTGTATTCACGTGAGAAAGAGAGAAACAAATGTAACGAAGAAATTTTTTTTGGAGAAAAATATGTAAAAGCTGTGAACTTATCATCATTCTAAATAGTTTCTCCAGATTGATAATGCACAACAGTAACCCAGCAAATGAATCTTATTATCAGGGTATCATAATTATATAAGAAAAACAAAAGTATACCTGTTAGTCTTCTTGGAATTTTCTCTTTATCTTTGCCTTCAAAATAGCAACTTGAACATAAATCCAGTCATACATGTTTTTGAAGAAGTGAAAAAAGGAATGCCGCCATGACTTATTGAGAATTAAAGTCCCACAAACTCCCCAAAATCCAATAATGAAGCCAAGAGTCATGCTCACATAAAACCCAAAGCTTATGAGATTATCATCTCCATCTGCATCATTGTTGCTTGGATTGGGATTTTGATCCAAACCTCCATCTTCTGGACATCTCTCTGTAAGTGGCATGCCACAAAGCCCCTGGTTTCCTATATAACTGGAGGCATTGAAGGATTGAAGTTGGGTGCCCGTTGGAATTTTTCCTGATAAATTGTTGAAGGCCAAGTTCAGCACACTCAAAAAACTCAAACTTGAGAGGCTGATTGGAATTTCACCAGAAAGAGAGTTGTATGACAAATCAAGTGATTCCAACATTTCCATTTGACCCGTGTTCATAGGAATGGATCCTTTCAAATGATTTCTAGACAAGTTTAGGGAAGTCAATGCCACAAGTGCAGCTATGCTGCTTGGGATTTCTCCTGTTAAGTGATTGCATGAGAGATCAATGGTTTTCATGAATCGAAGATTCTTATCGTACTCAACAGATTGTCCTTTCCATGCCAATGTTGCTGTGTCCATGAAGGATGATTCAGTAGCAACTAAGAATTCAAGAGGTTCCATAGTTGTTTCACCAACTTGATAAGAAATTTCTGGGCTCACAGATGTCGCATTTGACATAGCATTCAAATTACCAAAACAATAAGGTATATTTCCTGTCAAGTTATTTTTTGAGAGATCTAAGATTTGAAGATATGACAAATTACATAAATTTGTAGGAATGCTTCCGTGAAGCCTATTTGCTTGCAAACGTAAGCCAATCAAATTGTGCGAGTACTGCCCTATCCATGATGGCAATTTTCCAGTCAAATTATTCTGTCCGAAATCAATGAACAGCAAGTCCGAAGAATTCATCAAAGCTGGCAAATTCCCAGAGAGGTTATTGTTATTCAGATGGATACTTTTAAGATCGTTCAAAGTACCAACTGAATTTGGTATTGCCCCGTAGAAATGATTGTTTTCCAATCTCAGAACGCTCAAGGAAGGAAGTTGTCCCCAACAATCAGGAAGTTTTCCCGACAAAAAGTTGCTTGAAATGTCAAGATAATATAAATTTTCTTGAAGAGTTGTACAGATGAAAGATAAGGTTCCTGAAAACATATTGTTTGAGAGAAGCAACGCTATTGTTGCATTTGGTGGGAAATATGGCAGGGGACCGGACAGATTGTTGAAACTCAAATCCAAAATGCCATTTTCTATTTTCATGACTGATTTTGGCAACTCCCCATGAAGTTTGTTATGGGAAAGATTCAAGTATTTGAAAGAAGATAGCCAAAGCCATTGAGGAATTGAATCTGAAATTGACGCATAAGAAATGTCCAACCCCTGAAGCTCCCTTTGATACTTTAACCAGCTAGGAAAGTGGGGTCCAAATTACACGATGCTGCAAAAAATCCATACAATTGAAAAGGCGGCACCCAATGTGAACTGAAGTTGAATAAAATCATATTTTGTGACACATCTAAAACTCTCAATTTAGAGAGAGTTGAAAGATGTGTTTCATTAATGACAGAATTCAACCTATTGTTAGACAGATCTAAGTACGCCAACGATGCAAGTCTAACAAACGTCGGCAATGGCCCTGTTAAATTGTTATGATTCAAAGACAATTCAACAAGGTGAGGTAAGGGCCCAAATGATTGTGGAATTGACCCATGAAGACTAGTGTTCCCAAGACTTAAAGTCACCACATTTGAAAATCTTGAAAAATTGGGAAAAGGTCCGCTACTAAAAGGATTGTCACTTAAATCCAAATCCTCTATACTATTTTGAACACACCTTAACTGTGGTATCCAATCACTTAATTGATCTGAAAACCTGTTATAGGACAACAATAAGATTTTCAATACGCACAAATTTTGGACGGATTTTACCATGCTATCCTCAAGTTTATTCTCTTGAAGATCCAGAGCTTCAAGAGATGTGGTATTTGTGAAGGCATCGGACGGAATACGTCGCAAAGAACTTTGATAAAGAGATAAAGATTTAAGAGAAATCATATTTGAAAAAGCTTTGGGACCAAGTTGCAAAGGATTTAAATCAAGATATAGACCTTGAAGGGAATTTATATTCAGAGCGTTTGGAAAAATATGTTCCAAAGCGTTATCCTGGAGATGAAGCTCTGTTAAGACGTTGCTAACGTTAGACAACCACGGTAGAATTGAAGAGTCTAAATTATTTCCTGCAAGAGAAAGGACTTTGAGGGACGTGGAAGAGTTTGTATAGACAAAAGAGGCAGGATTGACATGATGAGATATAAGAGCACAATCGTCCAAGTTAATCTCAGACAGATGAGGAGCTTTGGATAATGATGATTGCCAATCAACAGCCTGACTTAGATTAACGCCTGAGAGGTTAAGAGATCTCAAAGAAGAAAGGTGAGAAATCCACTCAAGATCTTTCGCAATCAAACCAGTAGAGCGAAGGTCGAGATATTCCAAACTGGATAGATTCTGCAGTCCACGAGGAATAGTGCCACCAATTGAAGCACCCGAAGCACTCAACTCTCTTAGTTGACCAAGTGAGCCAATGCATTCTGGAATTTTGCTCCCTTCGAAGTTGTTGAAATCGAGATTCAAGTAAGTAAGATGCTGCAAATCACATAATGAGGAATCGATATTACCTCTCAATTCCTCGGAATCACCATAATGGACAAGATCGAGCTTGATAACATGACCAGTCAAATTACTGCATAATACTCCACTCCACTCACAGCAATCAGCTTCACTTTTCCAGGTGGACAACCTGTCGCCCCCATCAACGAAACCATCTTTTAATTTGAGAAGAGCTTCCTTATCTGTCACTGCGCAACTGATGTTTATATTGGAACATCCTGCACACCAAAAGAGATATAAAACTCCAACAAGCCAAAGGAAATTGAACTTAGAGCTGAACATGATGATGAACTTGCTTGGTATTCTTTTCATTTGGATATAGTAAGAACAGGGAAGTCGCCTTGTGGATTTGGAGTTAATGATCCTTGGGCCATTTATAAGCAAACAATTCACCATGTTTTTCAAATAATTTTATGACAGACGGAAGAATTATTCTCATCAATGTGATAAAAATTAATAATTCCATAGATGAAGATTTTTCGTTCATGAAAAAGGACCATAAAATTTTTATTTAAAGTAAAAACAACTGATGTTATTAAAAACATTCTTATCATTTAATTAATTTGATTAGTCTAAATTTTGCTATTAAGAAACCAAATTGTTTGAATCAGCTGATGAAAGTTTATTTGAAATAATTATTTAATTTATAACTTCAAATTAATCAGTCAATAGTTAACATTAATTAATAGCTCTCATTTGAGGCATTCTGGTCATGAGAGGTGCCTAAAAATAATGGGAAGAAAACGTTGTCACTGCATGTATGATTGATTTGTGTCATTAATGTTTAACAACGTAAGTGACACACTCATCAACATCACCATCATTTGTGGAAATTATCATTGACGATTATGTGGTTGGAAATTTTTGTTCATGCTGTGAGAAGAGTCGTCTCCTTTTTGATTCTTCAATAGATGAACATATGGATCAAATTAAAATTGAACCAAGATCTACGTATACATATAAATCATGCCAAATTTCTTTTAATTTTATCGAAGTTAATATTAATTTTATCTATCTGAGTCTCATGGCTTCAATAAAATTTTAAATTATTCATCCACATATGTCATTTTTTATTTATTTATTCTGGTGAAATACGAGGAGCATACTTCACTAGCAGTAAAAGCTAATCGCTTTTGGGTAATAAACAAATCTCCTCAACTAAATTTTCTCCATTCACAATGATTAGGAATCAATCATCTAATTGATACACATATTGTCTCATTTGATGGGTTGACGAACACATACGTAGAGTAGATGTCCGAAAAATATCACAGAACGTCAATATTCTCCCAAAACCTTCCCTAATTTTCTAAATCAATTTCCTATTTCTATTATTATTTTTAGATATATGTATTACTCATAAAAATGTTGTTAATAATAATTGTAATGAATCAGTAATTTCTTCTATTAATTTTTTTTTGACAATTCAAGTTGCTAAAATTTTATTTGAGCCTAAGTTAAAAACATTCTTATCATTTAAATAATTTGATCAGTTAAGTTTTCTCTTGAAATGGAAAATTGTTTGAACCAACTCATAAAAGTTTATTTGAAATACTTATTTAATTTCTAACTTAAAATTAATCAATAGTTTACATCAATCACTCTCGATTGAGGTATTAGGGCAGTAAAGAGCGTCCAGAAAAATAGAAATAAGAAATTGTTGTAACATGTACGACTGACTTGTATTATTAATTTAATAATATAAGTGACACTCCTCGAATTTATCATCACAATCACCATTTTCTAGGAAATTTTTTGTGATCGCAAATTTTCATTCATATCATATGAAAAGGCTCATCTCTTTATCCATTTTATAGATGAATATCCCAATCAAGCCTGAATCACAATATAAATGACGCCGAATTTAATATTACTATATTTAATATTAATTTTATTTATATGATACTGTAAATGACGCCGAATTCCTTTTAATATTATTGAAATTAATATTAATTTTATTTATATCAGTCTCATGCCTTCAAAATCTAAAACTTAAATTGATCATCCCCATCTATCATCATTTGTTTATCCTCGTGAAATACGAAGACCATACTCCACTAACCGTAACCATTAAGGCTAATCTCTTCTAATTGAACAGTTAGATATCAAAATATGGAAAATAGACACACACACACACACATATGATTATGTTGCGTTAATTTATTAGTGCTTCCTCCCAATAATATAAAAGTTAAATAGCTAATTTAAAAATATTAAAAATATTAGTTAAATTAGTTATTTAAAATTAAAATAAATATGTGTTGGCTTTTCTAAAATCTTATTACTAAGCACATACATTATAACTATCTTTAAGCACATGCATTATAACTGTCTTTTGATAAAATCTTGATATGCGTAATTAATAAAAAAATTAAAAAACATTATAAATTATGACACAAAGTGAATTAACTATATCTATGGACCCACAAACACGGCTTTGACTTATCAGGGTAATAGCAAATTCCCACGTTATCTTTTTATGTGGCTAACGTGTATCAGTTTGATTGGTAGAGGAACATGTGGTACGAACGAGGTAAGGGCAAGGCACTGCCTTGGATAATGACTCTTTTGTGTTTATTAAATTTTAAAATAATAAATATGTGATTTTAGCATATTTTGACTCAAAATCATTATAAAAGTAGTCAAATACTCAAATTTTTTATAAGAGTAGTCAGCATGATCTATTTATCTTTTTGAAATTTAACAGATATTTTTCTTTCATTTTCCCTAATTAATTTACATAAATTAAAAAATTAGTTATTTATAAAAAAAATGTATTGATTTTTTCAAAATATCATCTTTAACTATTCGCATTAAAATTACTCATAAATAAAAATCTTCTTAATATGTGCAATCTCTCTCGAGCATTAGAGATTTTTCTTAAAACCATTTTAATCCATTTTGTATTTCCAGGATACTTAAAAATCTCACTCCCAACTATAATTAATGGATTACTCTTCAATTGATAACCCCTTTATTTCTTGGTGAACATTGAAACTCTATAAGTCTCTATTTTAAGATCTCAACGTGCTTTACATTCCTGCAAAACATACAACCAAACACCGTTCATCAACGTTTTTTATTCTTTTACTTCCTTTCAGCTTAACCTTTTTGAGGTCCCTTTGCATGCATGATTATATTTATACATACTTGAGTCACCATCCACTTAATTTGATCATTCTTAATTCCTTTTAAGAAGGAAAATTCTTTGAACCAACTGATTAAAGTTTATTTGAAATAATTCATTAATTTATAACTTAAAATTAATTAATGGTTAACATCAGTCATTCTCATTTCTGGTATTTTGGTTTTTGCCAAAAAAAATTTCTGGTATTTTGGTCATGAGAAGTGCTTAGAAACAGAATGAATACGAAGTTGTCGGGGCATGCATGACGGACTTCCGCCATTTATTTCTAACAATGCAAGTGACACTCGAATTTATTATTACCATCACTATCATTGACAATGATGTGTCTGGAAATTTTTGTTCATGCCGCGTGAGAAGGTTTTTCTCCTTTGTTCTTCTTCCTCAATGGATGAATATAGCGATCAAGCGTGAATCAAAATCTATGTATAAAATATAAATCAAGCTGATTTTCTTTTAATTTTATGTAATTAATATTAATTTTATCGATCAGAGTTCCATGCCTTCAACAAAAATTGAAAAAGAGAGGAAGCATGTGTAGCTTCTTGGAAGGTAGAGAAAAATGAAATGTCAAGTAAGAAACATGAGAGAATTACGATCAAGTCCCCAGTAAAGAATATAATTACTCAAAAATCTCAATGACAATTAAGCGGCTTGTAATGACAAATTCTACATTAAAAAATAACAACTTAATAACTTGTTATTGAGACTTTTTAGTAGTTATTTTTTTTTTCTTAGAACGTCATCGTAATGCTCTCAAAAAACAAGGGAGCACGGGAGGGACTGTGGGTTTTGCAACTTCTCATATGTGCAAGTCATAATTGAGTTAAAACTTAGAAGATTAAAAGATTATTTTTTCCTTAAATTAAAAACAAAATATATTAATATGTATTAATATAATTCCCATCTTATCTTTTCTTAGATACCACGTATAAATTGGTTGAAGAAGATACATATCACGAGCTCCATTGACTTGAAGGTCAAAATAAATAAAAATTAAAAAGGATAAAGACTCGTTTGGCTCTTCTATAGAATATACTACACGAAAAGACATAGATACTGCAGTGGTAGTAATAGAATTAATCAATGGTTAACATCAATAAATTTCATTTGAGACATTATGGTCATGAAAGCTGTCTTAAAAAGTAGAAATAAAATTTTGCCGTCGCATGTATGACTTACTTATGTGATAAATTTCTAATTACGTAAGTAATACTTCTCGAATTTAGCAACACTGACAATCAACATCATTTGTGGAAATTATCATTAACAATTACGTGGTTGGAAATTTTTATTTATGCCGTATGAGAAGGTTCATCTCCTTGGTTTTCTTGTTTTTCAATAGATGAATATATATACCACTTAAGCTTGGGCATATAAAAGATAGATTACATTGAATTCCCTTTAATTTATTCAAACTATTAATTTATCAATGAGTCTCTCGCCTTCAATAAAACTTCAAATTATTCATTCATATACTCCCTCTGCTCTACAATATAAGTCACTTCTAGAAGGATATGATGACTTGGTTTAAAATATGAGTCACTTAAAGAGTAATTAATACTTATTTATTAATTTTGTCCCTACAATTAATACTTAAATATAACTCACTTTATTTTTAACTCTCTTTCAGAGCTTTATTTAACATGAACAAAATTGAAAAAAAAAATTTATTTAAAACACAACTAATGAATTAATTAACATTTTTTAATATTGACGAAATAGTTAAAATGACTTATATTGTGGACCAAAAGGAACACATCATTATTTATTTATTGTGGGGAAATACGAGGGGCATTAAAAGCTAAATGTGCTCCATTCACAAGGATTACGCATCAAACGTCTAATTCATCTATCTAACCACTTATTTAAGGTGTGGGAGTGCTACGACGCATATTGATTTGATTTCGGATCCCCTAAGCCAGTTAATTAAGTGAAAAAAAAAACACTCCAAATTAAATTAAAAAACATAAATATATATATATAACCAATTAGATCAAAATACAAGAAAAATATGTATGATTGTGTTGCATTAATTAGTAGCTTGTTCATAGCATGAACTAGCTTTGATTGATCAGAAATAGAATAGTAGGCATATATTATAACTCCTGGCTTTTCTTTTTATAGATATCGTGTATTTGTTTGATTGGTTGGGGCATACATACTCCATTGACTTCAAGTTCAAACAATTGATGTTAAAAACATTCTTATCATTTAATTAATTTGATTAGCCTAAATTTTCTATTCAGAA